AACAAGTTTATGTCTAGGGTCAAAGTCGGGCCACACTAAGTATACACCGTATTTGGAGTACCCGTAATGTGCGTTGGGTTGAATTACATAATAAATCTAAATAGATTTATCAGTTGACCTGACTTGGTGACAGCGTCACCCACAAAAACTGTTTCAAAAGTGAAAAATATAGACAGTTACAGAAAATCCACATTAGAAAAACTTTCTATATCTTAGAAATAACAAAATAAGCTCACATGAAGCGATTTACAACAATCTTAACATGTGCATTTGTAATAGATAGATGACTTCAGTATTTGTTATAAATTTTTCACTTTGGTAGCATCCTTGTATTGGATAAGAATTATCTGTGAAAACTGTGCTTCGTCTATTTTTGAATAACCGGGTTGATTTAATCTAAGCATATATATAAATAATTATGAAAATGGATATCTTAGTCAGTTTATATATCATGATATTTTATGTTACTGTGTGGTTTGTTTTGGTTAAAATTAGAACGTATTTTTTAACTTCTTTGTTTGAAACATTTAACCTATAACAAATGGTTGCATTAAGGATTAGCATGCGTATGTCACATCCGTTAATTTCAACTGTAACTTCTCCAAATTGACCGCTAAATACACTCCCTCTTACACAATACCTATATTAGGCAATACTTATATGATTATATCTAGGTTACGTGCTTGACATGAAGGAAAACATCTTCTAAATGACCACAATACTTTACAGTAAACATTCTTCATGTTTTAAGTTGTTTTATATGATGATCTGCCCACTGCATTTGTCATACGACTGTCACAATAATGTAGAAATAATTGATTTTTATGGTATTTTTGGCAAAGTTGGTCCTGCTATATTCTTAAGTAGACCCTGTCTTGTTAGCCGTAATTGATAATGAGAAAAACAATAGCGCTGTAAAACTACATCATAAAATACATAACTTGTAACGACAACCTGACCGCCGACCTAGTTAGTATCTCTAACTGACCACTACTCTGACAGATATGACATAACTGACATGCGCTATGGCCTATTGATATATGACACTTTCACCCTTGTGAAATTAATAACGCAAAACGTATAAAAACTTATGTATCTTAGCATTAATTAGTGTAACGGTATAACATTTTCTACAAGAATATATAGTTAATAGAATTTACTTGTATTATGTAATAGAAAGTACTTATATATGTGAATAAGCCTGCGTCAAATGAAATGTTAAAAGAACACTAATGTGTTAATTTAAGAAACTGTTATCATTAAAAATTCCTACTGTTCTTTTTTTTAAGTACAACATATCACTAACATGAATATACGTGAATATACTTGCTTATTAAATAATCATTTGAACTTTCAGAAATCAATAATAAATTGTGTATGTAATTGACGAATGTGCCCAACAGTAGCGAGTTATAAAAAAAGATTGTTTTCATCTGAAGACGATTCGTTAATATCATATTAGAAATCAATCATATTTATATATAGATATGACTTTTTATGTACTGAAAATAACATTTTTCTATGCATATTAGTTTATGTTGAAAGTCAAGAGTTCTTTGGGGTTTTTTTATGTGCTTAACAAGTCATTTAACAAAGTATTATATGAATTAAGTGATTCTACTTGAAACGTGGGCGGCAATTATTTACATGCGGGGATGAATAATATAAGTTTTGTGTAAGATCTTATTAACTTTACATGTGTAATATATCTATTATTATCTATGACAAAGGCCAATGTGACATCAAGTTAGTGGTCAAACATGTTCTAATGGATGTTCAGGATTGTAATTTGCAGTGAACTAGGACAGACTTACAGCAAATAACATGCATATAAAAGCTCAACAAGTAAAGACATTTTGGATACATGATTCTAGTGTTTGTAAGGCTTTATATAAAATATACATGTAGTATTAATACATTTATTTCAAATATTTCATAGTTATCTTCATTGATCCCTTGAATAAAACATTACAAAACAATTCAAAATGTTTCTTGTCTAATGTTTCTCTCAAAAATTGAAATAAAGGTTTCACAATGAGACGAGTAAATTTTCCTCCTTTAGAACAAAAATATTTATATCACCGGAAATGAGTCCATAATCCTAGATGACAATGTAGTAAAATGAATCTTCATTTAGAACAAATATGTCGACTACATGTATAATCATAACTTGAAATCTACACTTGTAATAAAATTTATATATCATTACAAAATATAACTCTTGAGAAGATTGGCAATTTGATTTAACCTTTTTATAGACAAAATGTCATGCAAACTATTAATAGATATATAAACTGGTCAAAGACAAAATGTAATATATATCCTCTCTAGGAGTCAGAACAAAGGAAAACATTTTTCTTTAGAATTGATTAAATGTACTGAATAATCTACGACAGGAGATATTATCGAATGAAGCACATGTTTTTGTTTGTTTCTAAATGACACTGTAGTTCAGGAAATTTCTTCAATGTTGAAGTAAACAAATCATTTAAACATAGTTCAAGGCTTTCCTTGATCGTATAGTATGATAATGAAAACTATCATTATATACAATTGAAAACCACTTATTGCATATGTAATATATCCGTGAATGTCTTCTCATGTCATCCAATCAACATCCTAGGAAACAATTATCATTATAATAATATCTTCCTTGTATTACATTGTGACGTAACACATTCTTGTTTGTGTCAATGTGATTAAACTTGTTCAAATCTTCACAATAAGTACTTTATAACGGAACGGAACTTAGTTACATAATACTATTTGTAAATGAATGGTACATGAATATAATTTCATTTTATTTAAGTTTATATGGTTCAATTTAAGCGACACTCTAGGAAAAATATTATGGTCTGTTTTGTGACTGGTTAATATCATCATCAAATCAGCATCTTAGGACCTATTAAGTATGTTTCTAACCAATTGCAACACAAAAGTTTTGATATTTACGATACATTTTTGTATGCGCATCAATTCATTTTATCGTTTCTTGCCATTTGATTGTTTCAGAACTCTTTGGAAACAGATGACAATGGAACTGTAACAATTAAGTTTGGAAAACAACAATCAAAAAGTAACGACAAACCTAAATAGAAAATAATTTTATCTTGGCTCGAACATGGTACATAAACATACAAAATGATATAATACATTGTTCAAAACAATATATTACTATACCAACATATAATACATTTGTAAAATATATCACAAAAAATGAAGAGCAAGAACGTCGCACATTTATGCATGGTACAAGTACTGAACGTGAAGCTTGTAAACCATTTGACTTATATTGGTAATTCGTCCGTGTTTCACTTAATGGAGTTTTCAGTACATCACCTTAATTTGACACCAATCTTTTCAGCAAGGCAAGTCGCGGTGTCATCAAAGACGACTCCTATACCCAATGTTAACTGTATTAAAACAGTTTTGTGTAAGGTGACCGGGTAACTGAACCCAGTTTTCATGAGGTCAAGCCATTCTGAACAATGCGTCGGGAAATTGGACAATAAACGTTGCAACGAAATAACGGTACAATCACATTTGTTAAAAAAAGAAGTTGCAATTTGCATATAATTTAAAACTCTTTGATCGTCTTTTAAGACGCACACTATGAACAAAAGAGTTAATCATTCTACCAAGTGGGTCAAAACTCTTATACTTCATATTCTGTCCTCTTTCTTTATTTTAAACACAACTCAAAAATAAAACAAAACAAAAAAAACATATTATTTTCAAAGAATTACCCATTCTTTATATAGTTTGTTCTAACTTTTGTTAAATTAATGAAAAAATGGCTTAATTCAATAGCTTTGATATTTCAAATGCGGTAAAGCAATGTGTTTAGAATAAAAATGAACTAGTTATTTAGACTGTTCAAAGCTGGAAAGAGATCGCAACTTCCAGCGGACATTTGACCGCTACATTAACAAACTACAGAAATATCCCATTTGGGTTATGGTAGAATGTTGGATAATCCTTGCGTAATCCCTTGGCCATAGTTAAAATGTTACATGATTTCGCCGTTGTTTGAATAGTTTATTTATCTTTGAAATATTCAACCGACTGAATAAACATGACCTGGTAAAACAAACAAAATGTTTGTTAAAGATGGCCGTTAATATCCGTATATCGTAATATTACATAGAGAATTGAACACCACTAAATCGATAGCCGTCCACTTTTAGCATTGCCTTACTTCAAGTACCCTTTTAATATCTGAGACCAGTACTCGAGGATAAATAAAGAATGGTTGATACAAGCGTCTGTTACAAATGTATCAAACCCACAATAAATCATGTTTTTCCTACAAATGCAAAAAAAAGTTTTGTTAATATGTCTCAAAATATATATTACGTTACAAGGTTCAAAACGAATTAGAGTAACTCAATCCAAAATCCGTCATGTAAATCATATAACTTCAGACAAATTAACCTGACTTCAAGAGAAACAAAAAAGAGCTATTCACGTTTTAGACATTTAATATTAGTGATTTTGCGATAAATATACAGAAAAGTTCTGTTCTGATAAATATAATATTATTTCTTAACAAAATGTCACAATATGTACTTTATGCTGGTTTGAGTATAAATTTGCTTGAAGACGGAATAAGTTTTATCCTACAGTTTTTATGTACATTTTACATTTTTCATTAGATTTAATGACTTACTGTTTGTGAAGGATAATCAGGGTAAAGCGATATGTATTACTTTACAAAATAATGAGTTAACATTATAAATAGAATTGTTTAACTTATGAATTACACTGTGGTTGAATCAACAGTGTAAACCATAATGTCAGTGATAGGTTGAATTTGATGAACAGTTGTTATTTATTTGTACATTACATTATTATATGAGACTATATTAAATATAAATTGGATATATGTATGATTCATTATGTTCACTTTACTTCAAAATATTAATTGCAATATTATGAATATAATTCTTTTTTATCAACTATTGTATTATTTAATTTATAAAGCGCCATTTTAAACGGTTATGCATAAAAACACCTTATAACATGCAAACGGAAGAGGGAATAAAACGGGAATTTTCTCTTCAGAGTTCGCTTTTTAAATGATATATGTTATGATAAACATAGACATATCCCCGTAATGATAGGTGTCTGTTTTCCACAAATGAAACTTTACAAGTTCATCACAAATGCCCATCTTTCCCCTGATCTGTCTAAACATCGAGATCGTATCTACGGTACACTAAAACATCCTTGCGGTCATTTCGACCCGCTATATTGACCAATCGCGTGTAAAACCACGCATTTGTCTAGCGTTAAAATCACCAACTATTACATGATAATTACAAGGTAATTTACATTACGATTAAATATACAAGATTATGTAACTGAATGTACTGAAAAACTAAAACAAAGACTGGACAAAACAAAAATAGAATCTGAAAACGAAACAAACTTTCGCGTAACGTCATTTACTATGCGCTTTATGCATACATTGTGCAAGAGGGTCAACGAAAGTTCATTCTAACGAGATATCATATAAGCTGTGGTCATTGGCTGACCACTGCATTTAGTAGTTAGAGCAGGATCATATTGTACAACCCGATATTGGGAATATTTATATTATTAATACAAAGCGAAACTTGGAATTTTAAAATATTTAAAACGTGAATGAAAACGGTAATTATTTTTGCGTACTAAGTAAATGTTTATAAAGAAAACTGTATTTAATACTTCATTAAACCTGTGTCAAGATATTATTTATTGTTAAATTATTTTTCAATTTTTCTGACAAAAATCTATATTTATTTAACATTACAAAGTTTTCTTGCAAAAGACTTTGTTAAACAAAAGTAAAAAAAAAAGAAGAACGTGTGTATTAGACGTAAAATAATTTTTATCAGATACATTAAGTAAGTTTGGATAAATATGTGTTTATCTTTATTTTCTAGAAATCAAAATGAGTGACGCGGCGCTGGACCTCTCCTCAAAGTCGTCGTCGGCATTCGAAGATCGAATTTCCCGACGATCATTCACGGATGACACGCCGCCTTCGCCACATACACCAGTCAGAACATTTTCATCATCCGACGGAAATGAAAGTGATTCTTCATCAATACCATCCTCTGCAATAAAACCAGTGCCAGGACCTATACCAACCAATCTGCGAGATTCTCCATGTTCAAATCCAGACAGTAATCATGACAAAGGCGAATCTTTGCCATCATCTCCGACGACGCCATTATCTGCTGGTGGCACAAGTCGTCCTTTTAAATCATATCCATTAGAAAGCATGTCATCGGTTTTCTCATCACCGGCTTCTGCAGCACTTCTCGCCAGTCATTCATCCGGATTACCGACGGGTTTGCCCGTCGGTATTGGACTTTCCTCATTATACGACAGTTCAGCCACGTTTCCTTCATTTCCAGTTACACCATTAACATCGCATCTTTTACAAAGGAAACGAAGGGCAGAAAGTCGATCTAGTTCTAACAACAATCAGGACAATACTTCAGATTCAGAAAACAAAAAACTTAAACATGTGCCTGAAGATAAAAAAGACAATTCTTACTGGGAGAGAAGAAGAAAGAACAATGAAGCTGCGAAAAGATCTCGAGATAATAGAAGATGTAAAGAAGAGGAAATTGCAATGAGAGCTGCTTTTCTGGAACAAGAAAATCTCAAACTTAGAGCTCAGGTAGCGATTTTGAAAAATGAAACTGCTAAACTGCATTACATGCTATATAATAGAATTTAGATGCAATTTCTCAAAGACGCCATTTTACTCAGGAGATGTGATGTGCTCGTTCGTAATCAGTTGTGTGTTCAGGGATCTATTATTTTTATAAGCTGATATTGTACGTGTGTGACTTTTTTTGTTATCATTGCTATCAAGATAATAGGAACTTTATTGTGCTTATTAATTACAGTTTACATTATTATAGAAGGAGAGAAAGTAATATTATAACATCTATTTTTTTGTAATGTGAGAATTGTTTAGATATTGCGTTATTTTACGGTCAATTGCATTACATTTTTAACTAACACTATCATATAATTGTTTATTTTGATTAAATATGGATATTTTCTATCATAGTTACTCAGGGACAATTTACATTTATTCATTTTTCATTAAAGAATTGAATGTTTAAATGTACTGCTTGCCATGTAAGAGCGTTACCTCAATGACGTCAGATAATGAAAAAAAAACATATCACACTGGTTGAATAAAAAAATCTTCTAAAATCAACGATGATACTGTTCACTGGAATGGACAAAAACTGTCAACCACTTTCTTGCCTAAATAAGATTAAGATGTTTTCATAAAGTTTCAGACTTTTCAGGGCTTTGATCTTTGATTGATTTTCTCTTCGTTTAAAATGTATGGTAACAAACCAAACATTTGTTTTTACTTTTCAATACAAACATATTTATTAATTTTTGTGTAAATGAACGTTGTTACGAGTATTATGTAATTGTACGTATTTGCTAAATGAGATAATATATTTTTACCTTTGCTTTCAAACAAAGGGGCTATACACCCGAAAATACCTCATGGGCTGATGTTGGTGCATAGATGTTCGTATAAATTATTTGGAATGAATGTTTAAAACCTATTTTTATAACTTTATTTTTTTTCTTTGATTACAAAAAAAATGGCATTTCCTTTCCTGAATTTAGTTATTATTGTAAAATAATGATTTTCATCACAATCATTTCTTTCTTGTGTTAGCTTGCATCTTTAGCAAAACTGATATTGGAAGAGAATTTACACCCAGAATTAACTTACTATTTCAAGCCAAATATCGATTGATATTTGTATTAATTTCTTATATTCTTATTCTTTAAAATAACAGTGCTGTGCTATTAGAGTATTAATTTTATTTGTTATGAAAGTAGTGCTGATGTATGAATATCAAAACAAAATATGTGTTTTATATTATTGATGTAAATGATATACTTGTTATGCATAAATGTGCTATATTTTCTTTTCTCTCAATTTATTTTGTATATTTGATGTTTGAAATAATATTTATAAGTTTTGAGATTTTGTTGTCTTGGAAACAAGTCTGATATTCTAACGTTTGATTGATTTTAAAATATGCTAGAATATCATTTCGATATTTTGATAAAATATTCTCAGGAATTTTTTCTTTTTTATTAAACCCAGGGACTACCTTAATTGTTTTTATTTCTTTTCCTTTTTGGTTTCTTTTTCAAGTCGACTGTCGGTGACCAATTAATTATCAATTTTCGATTTTTTTCTCATTTCATTCATGAGGAGGAACAAAATGATACGGGTATCTTAAATGATTTACTTTATGTTTATGATGATTTACTTTCATTTCTTTGTACATGTATATCAAAAAAGTCTAACTTCCTTCTTTTTTTTTACTTCATCAATCGTACAATCATTTTGTTTTGTTTTCAAAACAAATAAACACAATTGTAAAAGTTTCCTTGGAAAAAAATGAAAGAATATTGTTAAATCGAAGTTTGACAAGTTAATGAAGATCATGAAGCATTTAAAATGGAAACTGATAATCACACATTTCTCATATATTTCTTCTTCTTTTGAATCTCAGTTATTTTATACTAATTTTTGTTTTGTATTTTCTTATATATTTTGAAAGACTGAACAATATTGTTTTATTTTTATGATGTTGTGTAAGGGAGGCCTCAGATTGCGAGATGTTTATTCAAATATAATATAATGTGTTAAATCCACTAGAAAATTATCATATAATGTCTTATTGTTGATTTTGTAAACAATTAAAGAGAAACTAACTTTACTTCTGTCCGTTTGTTATTCTTCCCAGAAAAGTGTATGAAACCAGGCAGTGTGTGAACTTCAAGTACTTAATGTCCGAAGTAACACTACGCAATACTGTTTCTATATGAATTATTACTAGAGTTAAAGTGGTCAAAGATTAACTAAACACTTTGTCTTCTTTGTTTGAAGTAGGACTTACTAGACGTAACAATTCAATTTTTGTGTATTTTATTGAGTGATTCAGCACTGGGTCATGACCGAAGCATAGAGTTAATGATTACGACACTCTTACACAAGACTATCGATTCAACGCTAACGTTCTTTACAAAATGTTGCATAATAATACGGGTGAACTTTTGACCAAACCGTATGTCCATAATTTCAACAGTATTTAGAAAATTGCATAATTAAACATTCATTTAACAATTGTTCCCAATAGAATTAGGTGATTAAGATAACAGTATTTAAAGCATGCTTACATAACAATAGCTACAAATTGAAACACATTGCCAAAATTTTAAAAGGAGTGATAAGTATTATATTTATTTTTATCAAACAGGATTATAAATATAAATAAATGTTTATAAGAGAAAATACAGATCGAAAATAAAACAAACAAAATCTCATTGGAAAAGTAGTGAAGCTATATATTTGCTTTCATGCAACATAGTCGAAAATATATCAGTGTAAACTGTTTTATTGGCAAAATATTCATGTTTTCAGAATGGGGTCAATTACGCAACATATTAGGTGGACATGTAATATATCATACATGTTAACACATAACACATTCCTATGTACAAGTGTACACCTCGGCTAGAGGCCTCTATCTGATAGGATTGATGTAAAGGTGAGGTAACATATCATATGTTACGTAACGTATATTACATTTGCCAAAATTCTTACACAATCTAATTAATTTAGGTAAATATGTGTCGGAGTTGAGATGCGTGAAAGATAAGAATGTACAGTGTACTCACATATATAGGTCAGGTATGGAATATATCGTGTTAACCTATTTTGAAAAATGTGTTTAAAACACATGCATGTCATCACCTTAGTGTAATAACTGATTAACGCCTATAGAAGGACTTATTCCGTTACTGCACTATGGTGATGATGAAGAAAATTTTCATAGCTTGTCATCTTAAAGGGTTGCTTTAAGAGGATTGTATTTTTTATGTTTAACCTGGGACTTTAAAAATATATTGTTTAAGTACCAGGTTTAATACATTTGTTAAAGAATGCATTGTCTCTTCAATTAACTAAAGCAGAATGATTCCGGATACATGCTAATTTTCATGAAAGTTTTAAATATGTATTTAAAAAAATAAAGTAAAGTCAATTGAACAAAAAAGTAATGTACAAATTGCAAACGGCATTTAAATTCTACGATAATTACCAAAAATAGGTTAGAAAATCCGAAAATAACTCTTACTGCGTTAGTAGTAACTTAGTAGAAATATGGTGATAAAAAAATGCAAAATCAGTCATTAATTGCGAATATAACATTTAAATCATTTCTTGAATGGTGAGTATTTTTGCATTTACAATCTTAGCACATTTTCTCAAGGTTGATTTTCTTGGAAATATTTTGGCTCATCTGGAGGCATGCAGCCATAAAGACTTATATAACTTATTAAAAAAAATCTTTAAAACTTAATGGTATATATCAAACATAGCCTTAAACTGGACCAAATTTATGGAAATATCAAAATCATATAACATGATAAGATTATATAGATGTTGGTTGGTTGTTTTTATAGAAGGACGAAGGATATGTGGACATTTCTGGCAAGGCTATAACAAACAAAAACATCTGATCAAGCAATGTTAATTCTATGTAACCCTGTTTTTGTTAAACTTTGACCTTATTAACAAGAGTATGATTTTATATAGAAAAATAAAACAAAATAGCGATTGATATAAAAATGGTATGAGAGATATTTCATATTTTATCCGATATTATCCTCGTTAATCAATACCTGTCGTGAAATAACGTTATTAATGAGGAAGATATTACTTGAGAAACATCCCTGGATGCTGATTGGTTGTTTTTATAGAAGTACTAAGGATATATTACATATTATTCGAGGACTTTCCTCTCGTGTCTATAACAAATAAACAGATAACATCTAATCAAGCAGACGATTTCATATAGTAAGTGATAACAATAACAATAATTCTCACTGTACCCTATAATATATTAGGTCATGGCTATAAGAAGCACGTGCTTAAGTCTCAAGACTTCCGGGTTCACTTAAAATTCTAACGACTCTTTTCATAAGTTCATCACGTCAGCTGATCTACGCAATCAACTTGTATATCAAACTTATACAAACAGAGTACATGAAAACTTTAAAATGCACCCTTTCATATAAATAATTCTTTATCTGTCTCTTATATCAGTTAAATTGGTATAATTCTTTATAATTTTCTTAAAAAGCTTCATATTTTTGTGCAAATATTTTGTTTCAAATAAATTATTTTCCCAGGAACTTCAAAGCTACTCAATTATTTTTTTTAAATTTCTTGCGAGGATTTTAATAAGGTATTCATTTTTGAAGTAATTTATTGTAAACACTATCAACAGAGAAATTTATTTCAACAAATGTTGAAAAATTTTCTGGACATTAAAACCTCGAATTAACATGGTACATTTGGGTAATGATTACTCGTGCATCTGGTACACTGATGTAACCCAGACCCAGTAGGGCACGGTGGGCAGTATGAAATTGTAATTATTTGTCTCTCTTCTAGAAGGCACGCTCGTTCATCACGCATCACGCGCTGCAGAACGTTCCGCATGATTACATAGATTTGACATTGATGGCCAAGCGCGGCACGGTATTGCACATGAATTTCAACTTACAGAACCTTTGAAGAAGGGATACTGACAACCAATGTGCCATAAATCTTTTATTCAAACACAATAAACGATGACAATGACTGTGAAATTATGTAAAGAATTACGACAGATGCCATTAATTTCATGTTTTATAGATTATAATATTTTGCCATTTAATTGCGTTCATTGCAGAACTATTTTGTTATTATTTTTATATAGCATCGTAAAAGATAAAAACGTAAAGTTACGGTATAAAGTTCCTAAACGGTGTAAATTGTATGAGTCATTTAAAAACCATAACATTTTTAAGAAATAGAAAAATATTAGTGAAATTATTCAAACTATGTGTATAAATAATAAAGAAAATAGAAACACTTTATTAATAGTATTATTAAAGTAATACAATATGCGTTAGGAGTGATAATAAATTCCGTATAAAATGACATGTAATAGAACTAGACAAATGATAGAAATAAAGTCAACATGTTCTAGACAGGTTAAACTTTAATATTTATATATAATGGAACTGACGAACTTATCTGTATACACGTCCCTGTCAAAAATGAAATTATCATCTCATGCAAATGCTGTTTTGGTTTCTTTATTTTATAAGATCAGCTTGTAAGGCTAAAGATTGAATGTATGTTTAGCAGCTTCACTACATTATATCAGACAATTTTTCATAATTTAGTCTTCTGAATTCTCTTCCATTAAAAGTTTGCTAAAGTCCGTAAGTGATCACCAGCTTCTTCACTTCTTTACTTTAGCTGAATTAATAGAGTTGGTAATGCTGGCTTCAGAAAAATCCTCACCCGGGTTCTCGGCAATGTGAACACAAAGTTCCCGTGCAGTCGCGAGGATCAGATAACTAGTATAATACTACTATGGGAGGGAGGCGGAGAAATAATTTGTTTAAAAAATCGTGTTTATGTTCAACAACTGTTTTAATTCTCTCCAGACATTTTTCATAACAAATTACTTTTTTTAAATGGCAGACATGATAGTGTTTGTGTGATGCCTCAAATATTTACAATCACTTAGATCCAGTAAAATCTACAGTTGTCGCCGGACGACGATTTTTATCAAATACTCTTCATTTTTCAATTAAAAGAGATAATATATTTCTAATTCATTTATTCTTTGTCGACTACCGTAGCAAAAGTTCAAACCATCCATCCACCTGTCCACCATTCTTAATTTATCTTTTTCATCCAGAAAAGCGTGTAAAAGGCATTACATTTTCAACCACTGAATAATAAAATCAGTCACTTATCTGTAAGCTTAATCTTTATTACTTTCAAGATTTACAAGCTTTAATTGATTTCGATTTTCATTTGATAATTTTAATATGCGTTTATCATGTATGAGCATTAAAGAGGATGCGCGCACGTTCTTGCACGCGCCTGTTACCATATCTGCACGTGTCATCAGCCTATTTTGACATTGGCGATAAAATCTATAACTAAATAGTGTCTACAGATACAAAATTATTAAATCTATTAACCTTTTTTCCCTATAAATCAAATAATTATCGTCTGCAAATTTATTGATACATTTGATATCGGGATGTCAAACGTTTTAAATGATAATAATGTAATTTTTTTTTCGTATAAAAACATATTTGATTAAGGCAGATGTTTTAAATATACACAAATCAATATTTATCTAGCTTTTTGTAAAATTACAGAATTAATATATGTAACTATATTTTTATCTTAAGGCTAATTTTTAAATTTCAAATGAAGATGGTTTGCACTAAATATATAGC